TTGCACTCTGTTAATGTTATTATCATTGTTCGGTACCTTCTTTCCTTTAGTTTTTGTTATTGTTTACATCTATTTTGTTTAGAATAAATTCTGCATGGTATGTTATGCATAAACTGATGCTCGGGATTCAGTTGGGTAACCTTTTTTTTACTAATATCGTTAATTTCATATATATAGGGAAAAATGTTACTGCAGATAAGTTATCTGCATTTATTTCCAAAATGACGTCGTTTTAGTATTAAAATCTTAAAAAATTATAAATAGAAAGACTATTATAACCCTGAAATAAATTAAAATTACAAAAACATCATGATTTCTGTCTCAAAACGACGTCGTATTGGACATACTGCAGATAACTTCTCTGCAGTAACTGCAGAAAAAGCGAACCCATATATATATATATATATATATATATATATAGTAGTTTAGCTATACAGGTTTAGAATTACAATAATGTTTGTTTCTTGTTACCAAAAAAAAAAACAATGCATGTTTATATGCATGACTCACTTTGTGTAATTAGTTAATGTTTTATTAATTACGGGCACTATGTTGGGTATAACTGATTTTGTCTTGAGTTTTACTTAAATCATATAATTATAATTAAGGACCAAATAACAACTCAGAAGTGTTATTTGGTCTATAACCATAATTAACAGGCCTGTAAGTTTCCCATATTTACTGGGGATTGGGGAGGAATAAAGCGACCAAAGAAGAAAATGAGATGTGTTCAGTGACAATAGTAGTTTACTTATTAATGGAATCTAATTGTCTAATGTTGTGATTGCGAATGCAAAGATAAGTGTTAGGTGTTAGAGAAACAATTTCAACACACAAATTGTAACCAAGCATTGCTTGCCCATTTGCTCTATTCCTGTTTCTTAACTAGAAAGCTTTTCAAGATCTTTGCTAGTTGAGAATAGTCTTCAAGTAGTTGATGTTCTAAAATTCAAGTATTTAATCAATTAATATCTAACATAATAACGTTTTAGTGGATTATCTGTTACTTAAAATTGAGTTTTTTTAGAGTAAATAAAGTGAGTATATATATATCATTTTTTATTCAATTTCAATATGTATTAAAATTTTAATTCATTAAAACTTAAAAATATATACCCCTTACACATTTATTTTAAAAAAGGTAAAGTACATGAATAATTAATATTTAAATGAATTAAAAAATGTAAGTATATAATTTACAAGTATTAATAATATTTTAATTAATTTAAAACATGAATGGAGGAAGTAATTAATAATTTGACATACTATTACTCAAGGAGAAAAAAAATATTGTATCACTTAAACTAAGTCAAATCATTTATGCGTGAAATTTACATTGAAATTAAACTTTAAAATAAAAAACTTAAAAAATGGGACTATATTAAATGAGAGAAAATATGAAAACAAAATTTTATATATAATTCGAAGATAATTTTTTTAATTTAATTATCGTTATTCTTGTCAAAAAATTTCAGTTTAAAAGATCCCCACCTTTTTAATTTTTTATTTTGAATTTGAATTTAAATAAAAGAATTGATGGATTCGAGTAGCCATTTTCACTTTTATTTTTATTTCTTCCAAAATAAATAGTTATCGAATCACTTAGTCATACCTAGTTAGATAAATGATATACAAATATATAAATCAAGAAAAAAATAGGATAATCATGAGTATTATTATTTTGATGAAGCACTTCTTACATCCATTACCTTAAATTAGGAGAGGGAGAGACGCGTATTAGTGGTCGTTCCTCCCTAAATTTTGATTTTATTTTTTTTGGTGAACTTGATTATTTTGTTATTATATACAAAAAATAATATACATATAATAATAATAAACTATTGGCGCTAATAGTTTGATACTCCCAAAATAATACTTATAATAATTAATCTATTTTATCATTTTTAATATCACTTATAATTTTAATATTTTATTTTCGTCCTCCATCATAAAAAATTACATTATTAATAATCATAATTATCTTTTTTTTTAAGTAAAATATAGAATCCATTGAGAATATTTTATTTTTTTCACTTTTAATAACTTGTATTAATTTTAACTTTTTTTTATTTGAAGTTCAAATTTAAATTTAACTTTCTAAATTCAATTATTGTTATACTTGTCATTTGTTTAAGACTAATGTTAATAAAACCGGACCGACCCAGCCGAGTCGATCCGGGAACCGGTAAATAGGTTATATAATCGGTCCGGTTGAAGCAACGGACAGGCCATGCATCAGAACCGGTGCGACCCAGCCGATTTTTGTGAAAACCGTGACTCGATCGGTTAACTGATGACCTGACTCAAACCCAAAAAAAAAATTCCAAAATATTTTTTTCAAAAGAAAAAAATAAGGTACATATTTGAATATTTTTTTGCTTATTGACTTACATAAGTTATGTACCTTCAACACTAATATTATCTCAATTATGCACTATGCAGAAAATTTTGAATTTATTTATAGTTAGAGAAGTCATTTACTGAATCTGAAGTCCCGTATCACGATCATTATATTTTTGTTTGATCCTTTATTGGATAATAATATGTGATTTATTATTTTTATATTAAAATATTTGAAATTTTTATCATTTTTTTAGATATTTGAGTATGTTTATAATTTTTTAATATAAATTATAGAATTGCATATAATTTACCAGGTCAAGCGGTTGAACCAGTGACCTACTGATTGAACCAGTGACCCAATGTCCCAGTATATACCTCGACCAGGTCAATGACCGGACGAATTTTAATAACATTGGTTTAAACGTCATATCCTTTTTAAACATATATAACTTAATTGAATCAAAACACTAATGTAACAGATTTCATAGGAGTCATTAACTCAACATCCATTGGCGCTAGTGTCAACTTCCTTTCCCGCGAGTGTAAAATATATATAGGGTTAATATTTTCTCATGTTACATGAAAAAATATTTTTCTCCTACACACACAATTCAAAGATGGAACCCACTCTATACTTTTTCTCTATTATCTATTTTGTGACTGTGGGAGATTAATCTTTTCTCATGTAACATGAGAAAATATTATCTCATATATATAGGGGCACGATTCTTTGATACCGGTGTCAAACTTTGAAATTTGACACCAAATCTTATCTGTTGATTTTCGTCAATCAACGGTTATCATTAATTGAGAATCAAACTTAATAATTAATTATTATTGCCATATAAATAATAACAGTTGATTGACGAAAATGAACGGTTAGATTTTGATGTCAAATTTCAAAGTTTGACACCGGTGCCAAATGATCGTGCCCATATATATATATATATATATATATATATATATATATATATATATATAGGTAAAATTATTTCTGCAGCCGCTTTAAGTATAGCAACAACATGTGTATGGTTATGATTCCCCACATTTAATGCTTTCAAATATATGGATGGCAAATATTTGATTATTGCACGTAAAGCGGCTGCAGAAATAATTTTATCTATATATATATATATAATTATATATATAATATAGTAAAAATGAAAATTTCAGAGGTGATAATATATTTCCAGATGTTAAAGAGACGGTTATACTTATCATTTTTTTAGGCTCTTACTATATGTTTGGTTATCGTTGGACCAATTTGAAATCAACCACAATTATTTTTTTCTCTTTTTCAATCGCTGATCTCAAATTGATCAAACAATAACCAATCAGGTAGTAAGAGTGATAAAATAAAAATGGTAGTAAGTATAATATTCCCAATATTTAAATTTAAATATTTTTTTATTTTTTAAAATAACAAAAAAAAATTGATGAAGGAAACAATTCAACTCGTGGATAAGAACTAACTCAGCTCGCTAAATTATAGGACTTTAGGAGTTAGATTTAAAATATATCTTACCACAAAAAGATTTAATGAATTAGGGCCAAATATTGAGTTTTGAGGGTTGGCCCACGGATTTCAGCCTCTTTTGACACCTCTAGTGTTAAGTATGGGTTTAGATTAAGAAAGTCAAAGGAGTATAAGTGATTAAAAATAGAGAAAACATTTTCTCATGTTGTATGAGAATTCAACTCTCATGTTGTGACCCTTCGATTTGCGTGCAAAACTTTTCTTTTTTTAATAAATGTGGAGTCCACCACTAATTGAGTCACAACATGAGAATTAAATTCTCATGCAACATGAGAAAATCAAACCCCTTAAAAATATATATATAAAAAGATAAGTGATTCAAAAGTAAAATCATATAAGGAGTTTTCAATTTTTCTATTAAAAATAATATCATATTTGATAGATACAATACCAGTTCACATCCCTATGCACAATCATGTTTCTGAGGTGAGACTTATTGTGGCGATCCGTCTTGGGGAAGCAGGCCCATGAGCAACAGGCCCATGGGGATGAAGGAGCCTAGCAGCGGTGCCACTAGGCCCTATAGCTAGTGGGTTATCAGACATAGTGGGTTATACTTATACATGTTTAGGCCCTAAAGCTAACTTCCTTATAATTACCATATTTCCATTGCATTTTGTTTTTTCTGAAAAATTGTCTGCACCTAAAAATCAAATACGACTGCATTACATGTCATTGCATTGATGTAAGACCCACTTTTTCTCAAAAGAAAACGTTTTTTAGACTATAAAGCTGCAAGCATAATAGATGGGAAGTTTAACTGACATTATAATTATCAAAGCAGATTCTGAATTTAGGAAAAAACAAATAAGGTACCGTCTAAAACTTGCTGTCTGTTGCGTTTGTGTTACACAGTGCATAAAAAACCAACAATATTCGGAATTCAACATACTTAGTATATATAATATGTGAGTAAGAAGTGGCTGAAAAATCAAAATCAAAATACAAGAATTGTATCTCGAAGAGCTAATGGAGTGAAAAACTCACATCTAATCCTCCATCCCTTTATGTAAAATCTCAATGAAAAAGAGACCATAAAAAAATAAAATAAAATGAAACAAATAGTAATATAACAATATCATATTCTACAAATGAACAACAATGAATCTATTGCTAAAGAATTCATAGCCTAAGCCTGAACTTACAGCTATTGCTTGAAATTCTAATATCATTATTAGCACCAAGACTATCCACCACAAGCCTGCACCTAACCCTGAAATTGATTTTGAAGAGCTTCAACTTACCAAGCTTAATCCTCACAGGCTGTTTGACCTTAAGATTGAGTGGAATATTGTTTGTCTGTTGCAGCTGCTGCTGCACCTTATTTTCTAGACCAGTTGCATCTTGTGTTTGACCTGTTAGAGGAAGATTAAGCACTGTAGTGTTACGATGACCCTGGTAGAATTTTGGTAAAGACCCTTCACATAATTGTGTGTCCATATACCAAGCACTTATATGGCTTCCACCCACATAGTATATTCCAATCTTCTTGTTTGGATTTCTAGCAGTAATTGTCACATTGAATGTAACCTGAAGGCTGTTGTTATTATTAGAAGCCTGGAACTGGGTTATACTCAATTTGTCCACTGAGTATTTGGGAAGCTTTGGCCTAAATGCAAGGTATAGTGCCCCAACTGTGATTGCTATAGCAATTATCAGAATTAGCAATATGCTGAAAGTCCAACACAGGAATTTGCAGCAACAGCTTCTTTTCTTTGGTGGCTTGGAATGCATCACAGGAATGGTTCGTTGAGGAAGAGGTGGATGAACCATAGGGTCACCCATATCAGATTTAGAAGCATTACTAGGAACCAAAGGTGCTGTTGGTCTTTGTGGTGCCTCCACATCATGAACTGGATAAATTCTCTGATGATCTGACATAGTTGTTTCAGAAAAATTAAGCTCAAGAATATATATATGTGATCGCTGCAATTTTAGAAAGTTGCAGCTCTTGATATTAGTACTCTCTGATCTTTTTTTTCTCTGCTTTCTCTGCTATGTGTATCAATATATAGATGGGTCAATGGGGTGTAGTAAGGTGGGAACAGGAACATCTATAGGAGCAGGTCATGGCATTATGAGAAGGCATGAAGCTTCCAATGTTTGACTTGAATGGTTAAAAGGGTCACGATCGGGTTTTGTATTTTAATTTGTTTGATAGATTCATCAATCACATGTACCCAATATTCAACATTGCATCATTATAAACTAACGCAGTATATAAAGCCGTCCACCTAACTTTCTTTGCTATTAAGTATTATTAGGAGCCATAATTCTAGTATACAAATGTTTATACTGTTTTAATTAATCTTACATATTATTGGTCTATTATAGTCGTCAAATTACATCTCAAATAAAAATCTAACTCAAAATATGCATTCCTTAGAGTGGAATTGACAGTAATTTTCTATATCATGTTTACCCAAAAAAAAGTTCCATTTTTTTTCTTTATAATGATATATCATTCGTACTCCTCTATTCAGTGGCGAGCCACATGTAGTGTGGGTGTGGTCTCAACCCGGACTAAATTTTAACAAATTATATTTATTATATATAATTATATAATTAATTATAATTTGACCCAGATTAAAATTGTAATTTTGCCCGGGTTACAATTTGTAATTTGACCTTATGTGAAAACTTAAAATATTTTTGGTGAAAAATTTGGATAAGTTGTATTAGGTTACGTATCTAATTTCTACTTGTATATAAAAAAAAAAAATTTTTTAGTAAAATTAAAAAATATTTAATACAATTATAACTCTTCTTATTGTTGTTTACTCAGGTATTCTGTATTTAATATAATTTAAATATATTATAATATGAACTAACTAAAATTAAAAAAAATAAATACACATATAAATTTGAGTTTTATAATTCTCATTTAACATGAGATTTCAAATTTTCCTACACACCCTTCGATTTCCGTACTGACATGGGTCCTACATATAATTTTTTCTAACACATGGGTCCCACGTGTTTTTTATCTCTACAACATGAGAATTGAATTCTCATTTAACACGAAAAAATTAACCCCTATAAATTTTTGGCCCGAATTCAAATTGAAGCCCGGCTCCCGTGACTCTATTCCTTTGCACTAGTATTACTTTTCTTTTCTTTATATCTAAATAGTATCAGTTTTCTATTTCATAGAAAAGTGGCAGTTTAATCTTGAGACAATCGAAAATTTGAAAAATGGGGTTATGTTGTGGGAAGGGAATCCCCAAGCTTATAAACCATTGAAAATGAGTAGCCGTGCATTCAGAACTGTCTTAAGTTTCAAACCGAACCTAAGAAAATATTGGCAATAGTTTTATTTTGTTCTCCCTTCGTATAATATAAACTCTTATCACATTGTTCCTTAAAACGAATCGATATATATTCTACGCAATAAAAGGTCATAGAAGATTCCATGGATGCTTTTTCAGCCCCATACAAATATAACGCGTCTATTCCAAAGAAAAAGTCATAGCTCTGACGTTTGATAAAAACTATTAAAAAGAAAAAAGAAAGGAAAACCACACACAATTAGCCAACACGTGTATTTATTTAATTTTAAATAGTTGCTTTCGAGTTTTGATTTACCTAATAGTGTAGGCCCCGTTATCTAACAGAAGCCATCGTCAACGTACGTATGTGTCTTTTTCTTAAGTGTCAATATTAGCTGCATATCTAAAATCTTATCTTTAAAAAAGAAAATAGTAGTTGGACTAAGTTCCCTTTGGAATTTGTCTTCTCTTATTTTTTTCCTTTTTTTCTTTGCTAAACGCTTCGTTTTGTAAACCTCCTTGTTGACACTAAAAATAACCTACTCAATAACAAAAGTTGGTAAATAGTTAGATATTTTAAATAGGGAAAAATATTTCTCCGACAACTTGAGATAATTTTATCTCTAGTCATCCTAAAACTACGTCTTTTTGTTTATTTATTTTCTTATATTAATTGATTCACATTTGAATGTTTATGATTTTCTTTTTCTCTCTCTTATTTTATTACCATTGATTCATATTTGTACGGTTATGATTTATTAGCCGAAGATAAATTATCTCCGACAGCTTGAAAAACGATAAACCCTTTTAAATATATTGATAGATGTTCGTTTTTTCTCCATATGTATAGAAAAAAACTTTGTTAGTAGAGACAAAATTCAATTTGGTGATCTCTACACCTCAATAGAATTAATCTTTAACTGTCGGTTAGAGGAAATGGATCCTCTCATATGTAATTTAACATGATCATGTCATGTTAGAAGATCTTAAACATTAATAATTAAATCAACGGTGATGATTGTGTAACTTCCTATTATTATATTTTTTTCTCTCCTCTCTTATCACCATTAACTCATCCATGTATGATTATAATTGCCCCACATAATATTGTCATCTTAATTAGCACATGAAAAAATTCACCTCTATCAGAGGATACCATGAGTTCTACTCCAATAATAAAAATAATAATAAATAAGCTAAATGTATTTGTAATGCACACCTTATTCAAGAGTCAAACCTTACTGATTTGGCCCATTTCCTCCACCAAGTCATTTGGATCAGACTCATCCCTAGTTAACTTTGAGCCCAAAACTAACACTTCCTTACAAATTAATTTTTTTTTATAATATATATATTTGCGCTGGGGTTAATTTAATTATTTCCCATTCTTTTAAATTAATATTATTATATAAAAAAATAAATGTACAGAAACGTGTCGTGTGGACACCGATGTATGGTGGAGATTAGCTGACTCAGCAGGTGCAAGTTAGCACTTGGCAGTTTTAAGTTATAACCACCACAATTTTTCTGTTTACTGTTTGGGATACTAAGCACACCACAGTGCAGCTTACCACCCCCTCACTCCTATCATGGCGTGGTGGTGCTCCTCTCCCTCCGCCACCGTCACTGCCACCACCACCACTATCATCAGCCGCCGCCACTGTCTCAGCTCTCACGCTTCACAATTTCGCATCAACCACTTCCCTTCCTCTCCTCACACCGCCACCACTTCATCTTCGCTTCGATTTAGGGTTCCATGCAAAATCAATAACGGTAAAGTGATCGTCAGATGCAACCCCAGCGGCACAGAGCTTGAGTTGCAAGATTCTCCGCCACCTTCCGCCGTAGATTGCGTGGGAACAGGCCAAGACGTGGAGTGCCTCTTCAATATAGAAGAAGAAGAAGGAATCAGAGAAAAAGAAAATGAATCGTCGTCGTCGTCGAGGCTGTGCTTGGCGGAATGGTTGTGGGAATGGAGTGTGTTGGTGTCGCCGTTCTTTTTCTGGGGAACTGCGATGGTGGCGATGAAGGAGGTGCTTCCAAAATGTGGACCGTTCTTCGTTTCAGCGTTTCGTCTCATACCGGCTGGGTTCCTTCTTGTTGGTTTCGCTGCTTCAAGAGGAAGGCCTTTCCCTTCTGGCTTCAACGCCTGGCTTTCCATCTCTCTCTTCGCTCTCGTTGATGCTGCTTGCTTTCAGGTTCATTTCCTTTTCTCCTTTCACTCTCACTGCATCTTTCTCTATACTGAATACAATGCTGATTGGTTTGCTGTGTCATGTAACAGGGTTTTCTTGCTGAAGGCTTGCAGAGGACTTCCGCTGGTTTGGGCAGCGTACGTTGGCAGTTAATTTCTTACTCAATTTATTATTATTATTATTATTATTATTATATATATATATATATATATATATATATATATATATATATATATACACACGAGGCAGGATCCTTTGACACCGGTGTCAAATTTAAAGTTTGACACCTCATCTAAGATCAACAGACTGTTTGTAAGCATGTGACACTATTGATCTTTTTTATCCAACGGCTATCAGATGAGGTGACACTGGTGCCAAAGGATCCTACCTCTCTCTGTATATATATATATATATATATATATATATATCACTCGTTATATGCATGTGTATTTGCTAGAGATAAGGGCAACTTTATGTTATAATATAGTAGGTCTTTCCTTACATTTGCAACAGAATCTGTGACCTTTGAATCACATGACATGACAACAACACTAATTTGCATGCCTCCCCTTCCTTTGCTAGAGACTAGAGTATAATATTTATTTAGTGCACAATGGATGACTCAAGATTAATTTTGAAAATCGGTGAAATTACTCTATAAAAACTGTCTGTTTATCAGTGATACAATAGAATTACAGTTGAAATTTGCTTTGAGAAAACTCTTTGTTGATTCGAATTCTACCCTTCGGAATCTGACAAGAAGAATTGTTGCTTGATTTGATGATCTACATTGGATGTATTGCAGGTTATAATTGATTCACAGCCTTTGACAGTGGCTGTACTTGCAGCTTTGTTATTTGGTGAGTCCATTGGGATTGTTGGAGCTGCTGGGCTTGTGCTTGGCGTCATAGGACTTGTACTACTCGAGGTAAACTTTGGTTCTGCATTTAATTTTAATTTTAACCAGTAAGCAGCAAGTTAGTTATCATACCCTTTTCAGGGTAACGCAAGATTAGCAGTCAAATTCTTATACATCTAATGCAGAAAGATATCAAGGATATGTTTTGCAATAGTTACCATCGTCCAGAAGATACAGTAACCTGGTTTTAGTTTTTTATTTTGAAATATACTATTTCTCTTGGCCTATCAAATACCTTCAATATATTATTTAGTAGTGCAAGCAGTAATGATTTTATTGCAGTTACCAGCCCTATCATTTGATGAAAGCAACTTCTCACTGTGGGGAAGTGGGGAGTGGTGGATGCTTCTTGCAGCTCAGAGCATGGCAGTTGGCACGGTCATGGTTCGGTGGGTCTCCAAGTACTCTGATCCTGTCATGGCAACTGGATGGGTGCGCTTCAAATCTCATTTTAAATCTAGTGTTTGTTAATTTTATATTGATTACCATTGTTAAATACCTATGAAACTCAACTGAATGATTAGCAGCATGTTTGGTTAAGCTTAATTCCAAGAAAATAATCCTTTTTCTTTATTTTTTATTTTTCTTTTAAAAAAGGCTCTCTCTCGAAGCTGAAAAAAGGCTATTTTTAAAAAAAGAAATAAGCTAATCTAAACACGCATTAGTATTTTCAATCTATAAATCAATATAAATTTTATATATTTTTTTCCATGATATTTATCCTTGCACTGTTTTAATGTGTCATCATGTGTGCCTCTTTGCTTTACCAGTTTTAAACCAGACAAAATGGCAATTTTACAAAAGCTCTGAAATTGGATATGCTGGACTCTATTTTATGGCTCATGATTATAGATGCAGTTATATTTATTTCAGCAGATACGTTTGGCATATCATTTATTAGCAGTAAGTTTGTATCGGAAAGTAGTGAAATGGTATTATATAGGTCTACACTCATATCTTATTGATTACTTTATCATAAAAATAAAATCTTAGTTTAAGAAAAGAGGAAAGGGCGGGTGAAAGGAGGAAGCTATATAACAGATGATATCATGGTTTAAGATTTCTTTCGAAGTATAGCCCAAAACTTTACTATCCCGTTTCTGTTGCAGCATATGGTTATTGGTGGTCTCCCTCTTGTGGTATTCTCCATTCTTAACAATGACCCTGCTATAAGTGGGAGTCTTAAAGACTACAGTTCAACTGATGTATTGGCACTCCTCTACACATCCATTTTTGGAAGTGCTATCAGCTATGGTGTGTTCTTTTATAGTGCAACTAAAGGTCTGTTTTTCTCTCCAGCCATGATCTTTCTCTTTCTTTTCCTGGCCAATGTATTTCCTTTTATGATCACTTAATGTATACAAATTTAAGCTTCCATGTTAAATCCAAAATGGTTCATTTCTTCTTCCATATTGTAAGCACTGTGTTATTGATGCATCTTTACCTATAACTTGTACACTTGCAGCTATGAAGTTTCGTTTTGTTTTTCAAAACTAATATTGATCCATAAAAAATACCATATTGATATTGCATTTGTGATGCACTGCAGGTAGCTTGACCAAGCTCAGTTCACTTACTTTTTTGACCCCAATGTTTGCTTCAATTTTTGGGTAAGGCTGCCTAACAATGGGAGAGAGGCAGAGAGGATTTTTATGTACTTTCAGATTTTTTAAATTATGTAGCAGAGAGAACAATAATCAGAAATAACAATCTATGGTGATATAGCTCTCCTTTACGAGTAAAGGTCATTAAGGAGAAAAAAATTACCACCTTTACGATTGGAAGAGAATAACAACCGGGTGGCATCAATTATAATTTATCAGAGTTTTGTGCCCTTAAGATCATAATTTGTTTTTTTGGATACCTTTCCAATAGCATTTCTTCTAATAAATCACAGGTTTTCTTTCAAATTTCAGGTTTATTCATCTTTGTGAGGACCTTTCTATGACTCACATTTCTGCTTTGGCATTTCAGGTTTCTATATCTTGATGAGACCTTCTCACCTGTACAACTTGTTGGGGCCATTGTTACTGTAGCTGCAATATACATGGTGAACTTCAGAAACACGTCAGAATGAATTGTACAGTCAGTTTTTGACTTGTTCTTTCAACCTATTAACCCAAAGGAAAACAATTGTTCGGGGAACTAGATGCTTGCCATGATCTCAAATTGGCAATGCTAGAGGCGAGTTTGGATATGAAGAAAAGATAGTTCAGTGATATACAATCGGGAGCACTTGTGATCATGTTTTATAGCGTAAATACAATTTTGGTTAGTTGTTAATTTAGGCTTCGATCCTCTTCATAGGCAATATATACCAGAAAACCTGGGCTGAACACAAGCCTTATACAGGAATAAATTTTTTCCATAAAGGTTTTCTTTGTTATGTGATGGCATAAGTGTTAAATGATGACTGAATAAGAATGTATAGACTATGATTGGTTTATGGCAAGTTTTGTGTATAGACTATGATTTGCTTTGAAATCCAGAAAACGATATATATCTTCTATAGCATTATGAGAAGAATAAAATATGCAGAAATTAGTATCTGCGGACTGCAATTGGGATGCTGTGGGGCACTGTAGTAATGTAATTAAACTATCGATGTAATTCTTACACTGTTTATTATACATGGTTAAGAAATTTTAATCTGTAGTTAGCTGAATCAATAAAAGGAAAGCCACTCATGTTAATTGAACGATTCAGTAGGACTAAACGAAAGTAACAGCTATAGTAAATATAGCATTGCAGCAATCCACTTAGCTTTTTAAACTAAAATGCGAGAAAAATTGAACCAGCCAGAAGTCGATTGCGAAAATATTTTGAAGAATTGCAATTATTTTAGACAACTTTATTTTCATCACATTCCGTTCTTTTAAGTGGCTGAGTTTATACAAATGGAGCTGAAAGTGACTGATCATCCTGTCTATGCAATTCCTATTTGAAGAAATAAAGAGAGCATAAAGCTAAAAGTGAGAGAGGAAATGGAAAGAAGTGTTCATATGGAACTTAGAATGAGAGCTGGTTGCAAAGTGTGCAACTCCAAATAGAAGAAATGTCAGACAAACTCATGGAGTATTCAGGACACAAGATGAAGGTGATTTCATTTATCACATCCTATGTGGATGCAGCTGCTGTGACAACAGGTATCGCGTGCAGAACTTTATTGGCACCAAGCTTGCCACGCTTTTGATCACACGCTCCTTTTCCTGTTCAATTTCTTCCTGGCTCCTCCATCCACATCACACCTTGCTTCAGATGACACCATCCCTTCCGAGCCTAATGGACTTTTCTGACCCTCCTTTCTGGGGTTGTTCAATCTTGAAGTCTAGCAATCTTTTGAATCAACAGAATTGGGTTCCCATGAAGAATAAGAAATTCCCCAGTGCTGCTGACCACTACTGATAGTGAAGCTGTTGCTTCCTGAAGACTCTTAAGTCCTCCATGTCTACCTCACCAAGTGAACCACCCCTATTAACTGTCACATACTTATGTAAGCTTGGTTCCATCACATCATCAATGACAACTAACTAAGTTTCTATAAATGGGTCCTTGGTATCTGGCACCCTCTTCCCATAATTATTGGTACCCAATGGAACATTATATTCATTCCTACTAGACTGAAAAGCAGGTGGACTTCTCCTGTCCTCTGCACCACAGAAATTTGAGCTGGTATTGTGATGGGCCTATGGCCTGAAAAGAATGAGAGGATTAGTTAGTTAGAGAATTTTCTAGAATGTTTGTAAGGAGGATAGAAAGAGGGAGGTGTGGAGGGAAACGAGAATTGGAAAAAGGATCTCTAGGAATCTCTTGAGGTCTAGGTCTTTGACTTTGAGGGTGAGTTGAAACCTTTGATTTATCTTTTGTATTAGTGTCTTTTTGTTCTTAGTTTATCTTTAGGTTAGTGTGTTGTGAGTTTGTAATTTGGATTTCCGAGTCTGTTGCATTGTGTTCTATTTTACTGTAGTCAATGTTATCAATGGAAGCATTTGTTGTTATGTTTGTTGTTAATTGTTGAGGGTTCCATCAATTTGGTATCAGAGCACTTTCGATCTAGGGGTGCTTCTCTTCTAGAATAAAAAAAAATGGAAAATAGAATGAACAAATTGGAGAGGAGGTTTGATCGTTTGGAAGATAGTATGAATGGAGTTGAAGACTCTATTCGTCAACTGAGAGAGAAGATAATGAAGCTCATTGATCGAGTGGACCCATGGGAAGGGAGATCAGTGACGGAAAATATAGTTGTTGCCCATAGTGGTGATCGTGGAGAGAGAATCCCGCATCCAACAGTGAACCCAAAGGAGGAGGCACCATACTTCACCGGCGATATCCATATGGGTGGATTCTTTAGGTGGAGCATTATCTTAGGGTGAATCAATCCCTGTTGATAAACAAGTGGAGGCAGCTTCAAGTAGGTTTAAGGATAGGGCGAAGTGGTGGTTCCAATGGTGGAAACCAAGAAATCCAACTATCACATGAGAAGTATTTTGCTCGGTAGTCTTGCAAAGGTTCCACAGCTCGGTTCGAGGGAAGCCATTTGAAGCTCTGGTTCAACGAGTGAATGAAAATGAAGAAAGAGAAGAAATCAAAGAAGAGAAAGTTGAAGCCAAAGTAGGAAATGATAAAGAGAAAAAGAAAAAAAAAATGAGGAAGAACTAGAGAAGGGTGAAACGCTAGAAGATGAGGATGAAGGAGAGGTAGAAGAATAAGAAATGACCTTGGGACGAAGCAGATATATCACGGGACGAAACAGAGGTGGGTTTGGAAGTGTCCATGGGTTTTTGGGTCGAACTATTTTAGGAAACAAGGATGTACGTAGTGGGTCACATAGTGGATCAACTAATGGGTGAAATGGGCCTACGCGAACAGAAGGAGGGTCTCAGTCTTACGATGGGGGTACAACGATGATGCAAAACGAGATCGGAACAACGAATGACGGTGACAACAGAGGAGCAAGGTTCAGACATTTGTCGCCGAATTTCGAAAGGCTATCGCAGGAGGAGATGAACGATCGATGATGGCGAAATCTCTGCTTTCGCACCTTGTGTGTCTGAACCAGCAGCTCTTTGCCATGGTTGTGGGTATGGGCAAACTCGAGCTTGAAGATGTGGAAACAGAGGATGGCTTGGCGCTCGGGAAAAACACGAACGATGAAGGAGGGGGACAAGGGTTTGTAGTTGGCAGCACTACAAAAGGGGGAAATGGTGGAGATCGAATAGGGGCGCAATTTCGGCAACTATCACCGAAAAATGTGGCGGACAAGAGGCGGACGAACCTGGTCGGAATGATGTCAAGTAGGTCGCTAAAATTGTTGGGAGCAATGGAAGGTCAAAAAGTCATGGGTTTCATACGGACAGGAGCCTCATATGATTTTCCTATAAGCAACGTCCCACTGTCAGCGACTTCCACCTTGTTGCTTGGTCAAAATTTTTGGCTTTGCACAATAAGAAGAGGAGAGGGAATTCTGGGTTATGAATGGTTGCAAGGGTTAGGAATGATACATGCTAATTTTAAGAAGTTGACATTGAAGGTTGTGTAGCAAATGCATTTTGGGACTACTTTGAGGGACTCAATGATGTCATATAGTACAATATCTAATAAAGGACAGAGCTGGACATGGTGTAAAAGCAGAGAGAAGGTTTATGTGGAGTTAAGTTGTTGCTTACTTAAAGAGGAAGATCAACTCAAAATGCCTTCTAGTTTTATTGAGGGGTTGCAAACAGTCAATGAGGGAATATGGTCAAGATGTTTTAAGGAATAGGACCCAGGTGGATGTCATCTAACATCACTTATCTTCTTCCTTCACCTTGAGGATAAGGTGAGTTTTGGAGGGTGGAATTGATAGGCCTATGGGCCAGAAAAGAATGAGAGGATTAGTTAGTTAGTTAGTTAGTTAGGGAATTTTTTTAGAGTGTTCTATGATAAGGATAAAAAGAAGGGAGGTGTGGAGAGTGGTATTCAAGTATTGAGGGAAATGAGAATTGGGAATTGAGAAAAGGATCTCTAGGAATCTTTTGAGGTCTAGGTCTTTGGCTTTAAGGGTAAGTTGAGACCTTTGGTTTATCTTTTGTATTAGTGTCTTTCTGTTCTTGGTTTATCATTAAGTTAGTGTGTTGTGAGTCTATAATTTGGATTACCGAGTCTATTGCATTGTTCTCTGTTTTACTGTAGTCAATGTTATTAATGGAAGCATTTGTTGTTATGTTTGCTGTTAATTGTTGGGGGGGGGGGTTCCATCATATTGGAGTTGAGATCAGCAACAACTTTAAGGATAGAGAAAGCTTTGGTAACACAAGTTGGGAGAGAAATATAAGGTGTGTTCTTTTGATGGAAGTTCTGGATATCTTCAAGCAATAGTGAAGTGTAGGATTGTGCAGGAATCAATAGAGCTTCAGGGTTGAGATCTAAGTCTCTAGATCTCCTAGAAGATCTGCTTCTTGTTAATGACTGGGGTTTTAGGTTGTCAACCCCAGGTGGTACCACTGTCTTCACAATAATATTATCAGTCGATGAAGACTACACCTTGTCCATGACATCTTCCTCTGGCTGAACCTTTGTCTTGTAATTTACACACATGCCCTTGTCCAATACAGTTCTGCTGGTATTTGGTTTCTGCATTGCATTAACCATATCGATAGGACTAATTACTAAACAAGAAAGGTCAATTCTTTTATGCTGGGAAATATCCTGAACCAAACATTAATGAGTGAATACCTAATTAGCTTATGTTTCAATTTCCTTTTTGGGTTTGTTCTGCACCTTGCTACTGTTATTGTTGGCTGTTGTTTGTCAAAAATAAAGAGTTAGGCTCAACCTCATTTAGTGGGGTTCTTCTATGAAGTGATTTTTCTGCTTTTTTTGAGGAGTTACGACTATGTGAGAGTTGTTGCCGATTCTCACTCAATGCTTTATTTTAGCACTGCTCTTGCAAGGGATTGAGAACATGGTAAGGCTTCACCAACATTTTTCTTAACTGTGATCCTCTTGATGCTTGTGTATGCTGTAGATTCTCCACCACCATTGTTACTTTTATCCATCACAAGGGATGAAACAGTAGCTAGGACAAACACCATTTTTTCAGGCCCTAGAACTGGTGTTGCTATTGTTTCTTGCATTGGAAGGTGTGGTAGTCTTTGATGATCTGCTATCAGGAGATCTACCAACTCTCCTTTCTCTGTTGCTGGAGCGACGCTGCTCCCTTTTCCTGCATGGTATTTGATACAGACCAACCAATTAAATACAAGTTTAATAGCAAGTAACAAGGAAATAGTGATCTGAATGTTCAATTTTCCATATAATCATCAAAGACAATTACAACCAGAGCCAATGTAAGAAAAGAAAAAATTACACAGAACTTAGAAAGGAAAATTAACAAAGCAGAAAATTGAAAGGATAGTTGTGAGATAATTGGAGAGGCCTCACTCTCTCCCATGGTTCCACTTCAACAATATTCCTGATTGATTCCCTCAACTTCTCAAGCACCCATCCTC